CTTCGTGATCTGAAGGTAGCAGGTCCGAGAAAACTTCTGGTTCCCCCGGGAATATCCGATGCCCTCGGCTGTGGGAAACTTGAGGCAAATGAAATGTTCCACTTAATGAAATGTTCGCCGATCCCGGTTATATCTTTAACTATCTTGCTCTCGAATACTCAATCGTGGAGTATCTCCAATTCATCGAGTGTAGTTATTAATAACGAGACGCGTTCATTAATTAAACTTACTATCAAGTCAATTTAGAACATGCGTCGTATATTGACCCGATAGTAGAAATAAAACTTAAGATTAAATTGATTGAGATTGATAACCTCAACACCAGCGGTTTATTGATTTAATCAATATAATTAATTTCCCTTAGATTATTAACCATGAGGCGGATGCATTAATAATCCAAGTTTACTACCGTTGAAAGGACCGAATGAATAACAAGCGTATTAATCGATCAATTCTAGTAATAATTAATATATGAAACAAAACTAGTTGATCCCTTAAGTAATGCTCAAAATATTAATATGGGATATAAAATAGGAATGTAATTAATATTCAAGGAAGATGATTAAGGAAAATAACTCACAACTTACAAATCATTAAGCTTCAATGTAGCAAAACCAAGATGGAAGAGTTTAGCTTGTCATTTGGAGACTAAACATGTTAAAAATATAAATAAAGTATTTGACTAAATTGAGCTTAGAAGTATATAGGAATTGGTGATTTTATTGAGAAGGAGAAGAAGTGTATCTATAGGTGTTTCGAGGTGGCAAAGCTTGGTACCCGAACGGGTATTTAGGGTACCCGATCGGGTATTTGATGCAGTTTCACAGAAAGGCAATTTTCTTGACATACCCGGTCGGGTATGAGCCAAATCTTCAAAATCTTGCACGTTTTTTGTCTCTCCATATTCTGATTTTGACACATGAATCAACTCAATACCTGATCGGGTATTGCCTATACCCGATCGGGTATTGCCTATACCCGAACGAGTATATGAACTATTTTTTCAATCTTCTTTTTGTCTTGTCCCTTTGCACTTTTCTTGATCTTTTAGGGTCAAATCTTGGTCCTTTTGATGATCTTGACCTGTTTTAAGCTCAGAATAATCCTAATCTAAACAAATTACAACTATCTAGAAAAATAAAGTAATTCACCAAAAGTGTGTAATTTCTACAACAACAAACAATAAAATTAATTAAAAATGCAACTATAAGTAATAAAAATAAAAATATAACAATATCAGTTATCATGGGAGAAGTATTCGTATAGTTTGATTACAGAATGCTCTATAAATTGGGAGATATTATAATTTACAAGGATAGCCCAATAGGCTCATCATATACATAGTTACTTAAGATAACCCTAATACATATTCTATCTAAACGATATCACACTACATATAATTTCCTACAACACTTCCCTTGTGTTAAGTTATAGTCACCATGTTGTATGTTATGTTGTCTCGTCAAAACCTCCCTACGTAACAAAAACCATGTGCGAAAAAATAATCCGGATTATAGGAGAAAAAGAGTACATCATGATAAAGCTCGTTCATTATGTTATACCGATATGGTTAAAGTGTCCAGGTACTGGGAATGAATATTCCAGGAAAAAATTGTATACGATTTCAAAAGCATAATATTTATATTTTTTGCTGTACTTAATATCTATTTATATATAAAAAAGAATTATCAAAATGTTATTTGAAAAGGTAAAATAGTCACACAAAAACGTGGCTCTTTCTCTCTCTAAGATAGAAACCCTAGCATAGCAGCGGGCGTCTCCCCTAAATTTAGGGGCAGTTTTCTCCGCTTTCGTCTTCGACGAAGTGCAGCATTCTTGTACGGCTTTCTTCCGCCATTCATGATGCTTTCTTCTTCGGCAAGCCGCAACACTTATATGGCGGCCAAAAGTTGTGCACCCTTGGCAGCAGGTGGAGAGTTTCTAGGATGTCGTTCATGGTTGAGATGAAAATGTCATGGATGAAGCTTGGGGCTAAGGGCTGGAACATATTTGGATTCGAGGTCATCCGTGTTAGGTGGCGATAGAGGAGGCTTGATAGAGAACATGATAAATAAGAGGCAAGAAGAAGAAGCTACAGTACTATTGGACTGTCCCCCTCCTGAACCGCTGCCCTAGAGTACAAGAGAGTCTAGCGTTTGGAAACAACATTTTAATTTTATTGTTTGTTTGCTATTTATTTTTCATGATCAAACTGTTTATTTTTCAGTTGGTTACTTTTATTGTTGTAAGACTCTTGCATTAGAATTCGGTGATGGGAGGCGTGCTTTAACCGTCGTTGGCTCATTTATGCCCATTATAGGATCAACGAGTCATATTGTTTTTTTGAAGGTGACTGACTCTAAGTCTGGTTCGAGTGCTGACGGTTTCCTGTGATCCTTTTGTCGTTTTACTCTCTATCTGAATGATGTGATATCAATTTAATCTCCCTTCTTCCAAAAAAAATGTTATTCGAAAAGGTAGAAAACCAGAAACCAACAAAAACCTAAATACGGAGCAAAACTTGCTTCTAAAAGACAAAGTATTACACTATGGCCTACTTTATTTTATCAAACAGTATTTTACAGCTAACATTCATCTACCGAAAATAGAGTACATCATGATAAAGTTCGTTCATTAAATCTATATTTATTTGATCATTGATCCAATCAATAAAGTTTATATGTATCATTATCTCATTAATAACCTTACCAAGTAACAAATCTAAAACTTGGTTCACTTTTAGATTTAGATTAAAGTTAGCCACAGAAAGCTAAAGATTGGTCATGATTGATTTATAGTTGGTCGTAATGTGGTTAGCAGGTCATGAAATTGCTCATCCTGGGTGATTGGCTCTTTGTCTTTTCCAAGGTTCCAAGGGCTAGTGATCAAGTTATGGTTATTTAATATAGACTTCTTACAAATTCAACGGTACCCTCAAAGTACGATACTATGTCCATATGGACAAATTAGAATATTACAATTGACTATTTTAAATGTGACCAAATGATAAAAGAACGACTTAAACGAATTAAATGCACGTTTATTCAAATCCAATGATAAATTGACGGTCCGTGTTTATAAATAAGTAATAAAATCTTTTGAAAAGCAACTTTGCTGACAATTATCTATGATTTGGTTGTTTTCTCTGTTCGAAAAATCGTTCTAGGCGTCCGACTAGTCCCCGCCTAGGTGCTAGGCGGTGGTCGGGTGCCCCGATTTTCGTCTAGGTGCTCCGACTAATTGGTTAGCCGCCTAGGTGAATTAGTCGGCCGCCTATGGCGCCTAGTTGCCCGCCTAAAGCGTCTAATCGGCCGCCTAGACCGTCTAGATTCGCCAAACATTACCTTACTTTTCAATTTTGATTTTCTAAGCATTATATGTACTTTAACTTTAGCCATAAATATAAAGAAATGAAGTTGTAAATTAAGATAAACCTATATATGTTTGTACATATACCCAAATTTTATCATTATTTATATTTATAACATTATGAAGTTAAGTGAGTAGTTATCATGTTTGTAATGCATATGTATATGTTTGGTACACATAAAAATACAATATTACTTATCATATTTATGCAAAAATATAGATAAAAATGAAATTTATATGTCTCTGACTAGTCCCCGACTAGGCGCCCGCCTAGCCGCTTAGGCGCTGGGGTGGCGCCCGACTAGCGCCTAGCGCCTTTTAGAACATTGGTTGTTTTGTTAGTTAGAAGCGCCCTCACCGGTTTGGAATATCAACAAAGATAAAGAAGGAAGAGAAGATAAGCTCAATCGATTAATAAAGAACCAAAAAAACATATGACGAAGAGTCCTCATCTTTTTATAGGTATAACATTCACCAAAAAATTGTTTAGATGTATTAGTTAATTGTAAGGTTTGAGCCATTGACTTGACTTGATTTAGTTGCATCTACCATTAAAAGTCCATGTAAAGAATATTTAAAGAGTGGTGTGTTGTTTCTACTTATTTTTGTGTGCTTATTAGTAAGAGTGAGTAGTATTTTAGAATAGAAGTGTTTAATGTGAAAAAGTTAATATAGAATGTTTGGTAAAGAAAATTTTTTAATGTAGTATTTTGTTCTAATACAAAAATATCCATAGCCTTGAACAAATCATGCATCTTTATCCCCTGCCCCATCCCCACGTGCTTCAAACTTTGTAAAACAAATAATCCGTACTTCAGATAAAGAACAAACCAAGTGAACGAAAATGTAGACCAACAAGGTAGCTATAGCTGTGACGAAGTGAGGGAAGCTTATTGTCAAAAATTTATCAAATCCACCTCTCTGAAAATTAGTAAAGAGAATTATTGCACTGCAATACCGAAAATGACAACAGGGTCCATCGATACACACACTCAAAGATGAAGATGAAGCATTGTCATTAGTCAGGGACACAATGTAGAGTGTGGGAGGGAGAAGGGTATTTTGAGTTTAGAAGAATTTATTTATCATTATTAGTTATAACTATTTTTGAAATTCTACGGTTTACAAAATACATAGAAGCAATTACAAGAAACTATATATTAACTTCTAGCTTTTAATTTTGAAGCATTTAATTAAGCAAAGTACGTAATTGAAAACACTTATTTAAGAATTTTATAAACAGAAAATTGAAAAACAAAATTTTAAAGATGCTCTGGATTGGATTGGAAGTTGGAACAGATGGAAGGCAGGCAGAGAAGAGGACCTTTTTAATTTTTGGTTACTTTTTTTTTTTTTTTAAATGTTTATGTGGTACCTTTTATTCTGATAATTCTTGTGTGTTTGGGTGAATTTTGGGAAGTATTTTGGTTTTTATGAACGATCGTTATTCCAAAGACCAATCTGGTAATTTTTTTAATTTACCGGAAGAGTTTTCCAGAACCTCACCAGCTCTCCACGTCAAGTGCTACTTAAGCATCCAATTGAAGGCTGCCACGCGAAAAACAACGATATCCATCCGTTAGATCATCCACGCTGGACCAATAGCATGTAGATGAACTTGACACGCCGGACTGGCTTCTTACTATATAATCAATTCATTTCTTCACTGATCCCAAAACAGCATAGGTCACCAGAAATCGAGTCGCCGCCGGCAGCAATGAGGAAGTGGACGATCTCTTCCCTACTGTTTCTACTGTTCGTTCTATTTATTCTTCCGGATCAAGGTACGTCCATTTTGCCCCTCTCCGTTTCTGACCTTAATTACCTAATTAAGAGTTCGAGATATGGCGTGTTTTTTGTGTAGTCGCACCCTATTCCATTGTTAGAAGTGATCTTTAATCCGGATAAAATCGCCCCGCATTGTTTAGATCTTCTAGACCTTCAAGTCTCTAGTAATTCACTCGCAACCATACATGCATATTCGTTTTTATATGTACTCGAGAACTAGACTCTGTATGTTGTTAGATAGTTACATTTTGGATCTCGCATTTTTACTTGCGAATTATTTTTCCCGTTTAAGCTGTATCATTCTGTCTAAAACTCGAGTGTCTATTGTGATTAGTCGCTTCCTTAGATAACTGCTTAATGTTGCCTCTGTGACGTGTGACTTTTATGTAGGCCGGAAGACACATGCCAATGCAGAGGCTGAAGTTGATCCACAAGTGGATCCGCCTAAGGTAGAGGAAAAAATAGGTGCTGTTCCTCACGGTTTATCTACTGATTCTGATGTGGTGAAAAGGTTGGGCAAATGCACAGATTGTTTCTTGTTTCAGCTTGTACTTTTCCTGCGTATTGAGTGTTACTTGAACTATTGTGTTCAGAGAAGCTGAGTCCATGTCAAAGAGGACGCTTCGAGCTAATGCGGAGAAATTTGAGTTCCAAGCTGAAGTTTCTCGACTCATGGACATCCTCATCAATTCCCTATACAGTAACAAAGATATTTTCTTGAGGGAGCTTATCTCCAATGCTTCAGATGTGTGTACAGCTTCATAATGTTGTTGCTCTTTGAATTGTACCATGTATTAGATAAAAACTGTACTAACATTGCACGTTTTGAAAATCAGGCATTGGATAAAATCAGATTCCTTTCTCTCACTGACAAGGATATATTGGGTGAGGGTGATGATGCTAAGCTTGAGATCCAGGTTGGACATTTGTTTTTTGCATTAAAAAGCAATTACCAGTAAAACTAATATAGGGATGTAAACTTTGAGTTCCTCTTGGATGCTTTATATTGCAGATAAAATTGGATAAAGAAAAGAAAATTCTCTCGATTCGTGATCGAGGAATTGGGATGACAAAGGAGGATTTAATCAAGAACTTGGGAACCATTGCCAAGTCTGGAACATCGGGTATCTATTTTACGACAAATATTGCATGCAATTCACTGCTAGTTGCCTGCATTAGCCTCCGGTTGTTGTTGAACAAGTTACATGGTTGTTTATATTTTGTTTTCTGTAGCCTTTGTTGAGAAAATGCAGAAAAGTGGAGACCTTAACCTTATCGGACAGTTTGGTGTTGGGTTCTACTCTGTCTATCTTGTGGCTGACTATGTTGAAGTTATTAGCAAACACAACGACGACAAACAGTAAGTTCTATCATGATGTTTCTATAGAGTTCAATGTGTGTGCTTGTGTTCTTGTGTGCTGCTATGAAGCATGGAAAAATGTTTCATTGTTTTGGAAATTGGGAGGCATGTTTGAAACTTTAAAACTTCAAATTCTATCTCTGGGCCGTTTCTCTCATTAAGAAAATTTAGAAAACATTTTTTTTGAGGGGTTTCATAAACTTAAGGTTTACAAAAGTTTCAGTTTGATAGGATATTTTTTAATGAGAACTAGGCAAATTTCGTGGTTTATATAGGATTTCATCACCACATTATCTTCTTTATGATACTTGATAGCATGCTGAGTTGTGAGTAATTTATTACATTTTACATTGAATATGTATTACGGAGTAATATGTAAGGTAATAAGGGATACTTACCTATTTATCTAAGTTTTGTTTTTGTTTTCCTAAGCATTTTTATGTAATAATTTACATTTATTCTATCATTATTATTAATTATCATTATTATTAATTATTTCAAACAAATATATGAAAACTAAGAATACATATATTTGAAATATTATTTATAAATACTCCTTCCGCCCAAGGTTGTTAAATTCGAGATCCTAGCACGGGATCAGACGGGGTCTAGGAGATCGTAACTCGGGGATCATAACGCGGATCGTTAGATCTTACCATGCAATATATATTTATACACACATATGTGTGTGTGACACACATGTATATATATACAATGCAATTCAATTCTATGTAAACACCTAATTAATATAATAAGAATATTAATAATAACATAATGTCAAGACATAGGACAATAATATTAAAACACTTGAGATAACAAGTTCAAAGATAAATTGCAAAACATTTGAGGTAACAAGTTAAAAGAAGCACTTCCTAAACTAAAGAACAACTTAAGCGGACAAAGGTCCCAAAGCGGACAACACGGAGAACAAAGAGAGAAGGAGATGGAAGAAAACGACTTAGAAGCTGTTCTCTTCGCCTGATCTGAATGTTTCTGATCTGAATTTTTTAAGTTCTGATCTGATCTGATCTGAATTTTTCTGATCTGATCTGATCTGATCTGAATCTTTCTGATCTGATCTGATCTGATCTGATCTGAATCTTTCTGATCTGATCTGATCTGATCTGAATGTTTCTGATCTGGTCTGATCTGATCTGAATGTTTCTGATCTGATCTGAATCCTTCTGATCTGATCTGAATCTTTCTGATCTGATCTGATTCGAATATTTCTATGATTATAATTATAATTATAATTACAATTATTATAATTGCAATTACAAATATAATTTAAAAAAAATTATAATTATAATTGTAATTATAATTACAATATTTATCTCTATAATTGTAACTATAGTTATCAATATTATTATAATTACTCCGTAAAATAATTACAATAGTAATAATAATAATAATAATAATAATAATAATAATAATAATAATAATATTAATTATAATAAAAATAATAATTATAATCATAAATTATAGTTATAATATAATTATAAGTATAATTATAATTATTATAATTATAATTAATAATAATTATAATTATATTAACATTAATTATAATATTATAATATAATAATAGTAATATAAATACAATTAATATTATTATAACGATATTATTATATTAATATTTTTATTGCAATAATATAATAATATGATTATTATTATAATTAGTATTATATTATTATAATATTATATTATAATAATAATTATAATTATGATTGTAATTATAATTATAATTATTATAATTATAATTAATTACAATTATAAATATAATTAATTATAGATATAATTATAATAATTACAATTGATTATACTTATAATTATAAGAATTATAATTATAATTATAATTACATATAATTATAATATAATATTATAATAATATTAATCATATTATTATTATAATGTTGTAATAATAATAGTCTTCTTAACAATTGCATTTATATTACTATTATTATATTAAAATATTATAACTATTATTAATATCTTTTTTATCATATTATTTTTATCATATTATTATTAATATTATTAATAATAATTATATAATAATAATCATAATAGTAATAACAATATTAATAATAATAATTAATATTTAATATAATAATAAAAGTGATAAATCATGTTTGAACTTTTCTGATCTGAGCTGAATGTTTCTGATCTGATCTGAATGCTTCTGATCTGGTCTGATCTGATCTGAATCTTTCTGATCTGATCTAAATCTTTCTGATCTGATCTGATCTGATCTGAATCTTTCTGATCTGATCTGAATCTTTCTGATCTGATCTGAATTTTTCTGATCTGATCTGATCTGATCTGAATTTTTCTGATCTGATCTGATCTGATCTGAATAAAATAAGAATAAGCAATAAGTAATAAGAATAAGACGAACAGAACAGCACCTTATTGCTATAACACTTCCCATGACTTGTTGCTATAAGTCAGAACAACTAAACTTAATAAAGAAGTAGACGGACAAAGGTCACAAAGCGGACAACACAGAGAACAAAGAGAGAACGAGATGGAAGAAAATGACAAAGACTGATTTAAAGCGGATGAAGCAGGAAGATTAACGTTGCAGTAGATTAACGCCCTTCCTTCCGCCCTTCCTTCCTTCCTTGTTTTTTGAATGGAGAAGTCGTACGATTCTGCGAGTTAGATCGCGATGTTAACAACCTTGCTTCCGCCCCACAGAACTTCAGCTTCTTTGATTTTTATGGGAAAAGAGTTTGGGTTCAGCGAGGAAATGATGTTCCAAGTTTGAAAAAAATGATATTTTGAATCTTCGCTAAAGTACTTTAATAAAAGCTGCGTTATCAATAGTGGATAGCGGATCATGGCGGAAGGCCTACAAACCTTTATATAAATGTAGCAAACAGCGCTGCGGTAAATAGCGGAAGCATAGTGGATTGTGTAAAATAATTTACATATAGGGTTACACGTTAAATCTTTGCATGCGAAATGATTGCATGCAAAGTTTAGGGATACACTCACTTTCCATGTAAAATAAATTGCATTGTTTGGTTAGATGTGTAATTTATTTTTAATTTGCACGCAAAGGTGTTGCATTGTTTTATAAAAAGAATGCGAAAGTATTTTATCACCCTCCCTCCACGTAAAAAGTGTTCTACAGTTTATATTGTATAATCAAGTCAAACGGTGTAAACCTTTTACATACCTACACTTCGCACGAAAAATGATTATTTTACATTCTACCAAACACCCCTATATGGTGTGTATGTATAATATATATATATATATTATATATTATATATATTATATATATTATATATATATTATATATATATATTATATATATAATATATATATATATATATAATATAGGTAACTCTTCCGGTAAGGTATACCTTACCGGAGCTGCCGTGCGGCCTCCACGTTTTGAGGGCCTTCCCGGGGGATTTTTTCGATGAAATTTTTTGAGCGTGTTCTTCATCAAGTCTAGTACATCCATACCAAATTTCAGCAAAAAAATTCAATCGAGAAGGCAGTCAAATGATTTTTGGAAGATAACTGCACCCTTTATATACATATAAAACGCAGTTATCTTCCAAAAATCGTTTGACTGTCTTCCCGATTGAATTTTTTTCTGAAATTTGGTATGGATGTACTAGACTTGACGAAGAACACGCTCAAAAAATTTCTTTGAAAAATTCCACCGGGACGGCCCTCAAAACGTGGAGGCCGCACGGCGGCTATTTTCCTATATATATATATATCACATTAGATATTTTATATAATCGGTAAACTAACTTAGATAGTGGAATTGTGGTCGGCTAGCATCAATTGACATGATGGTAGTAAAATTAAAGTTAGAAATATAATGAGAAATTTTCTTAAATATGAGTAAAAACATTTTGGAATATCAAAATAGGAATGTCACGTCTTTAACTTTTTATTCCCTAAATTGGAGTAATTGTTGTCAAGCTTGAAAAATACTCCAATGTTTAAAAGAGTCTGTAATGCTAAAACATGACACTAATTACTCCTATTTAGATAATAAAAACACCACAGTTCTACTTTCAAATTCACAAACGTTTATACTCCTATTTAAGATAATTTCTTAAATATAATTAGTAATGTAAAAAAATCTAGTAACATTACAACTAAACTTTGGAACAAACCTAGTCAACCACCAAAACTCAAAGTTGTGAATTGCCAAACTTTATAGCTGTCCTACCCAAAGAGTAGAAGAGCAATGTTTTCTATAAGAAAAAATAGAGGCGGCTCACAAAGTAATATTTTCCTAGAAGAACAAATAGAGGTGGCTCACAAAGCAAGAGGGCTGATGGACTCAAATTCTTAGCTGAGGTCTGAAACACGCACTTCTCGCAGAAACAGTAGAGAAGGCACAGTGACGGAACTAGAAAATAATTTAAGGGGGCACAATCAAGAAAGGCAAGAATGGAAAAACCTAGCAGACAAGCGGGCAGTGAATACATTGGTCAGTGGCATCGAGCTGAGAAGTATGTACTCTGGCAGGTGGTGGCGGGCTGGCTCGGGGAGTCCTGCTGGTGTGGGCATTTGGCACTACACTGTTGCTTTCCGCTTGCGAGTTGCAATGTTTTTCTATAAGAAAAAATAGAGGCGGCTCACAAAGTAATATTTTCCTAGAAGAACAAACAGAGGTGGCTCACAAAGCAAGAGGGATGATGGACGCAAATTCTTACCTGAGGTCTGAAACACGCACTTCTCGCAGAAACAGTAGAGAAGGCACAATGGCGGAACTAGAAAATAATTTAAGGGGGCACGATCAAGAAAGGCAAGAATGGAAAAACCTAGCGGACAAGCGGGCAGCGAATACAGTGGTCAGTGGCATCGAGGCGAGAAGTATGTACTCTGGCAGTTGGTAGCGGGCTGGCTCCGGGAGTCTTGCTGGTGTGGACATTTGGCACTGCAGTGCTGCTTTCCACTTGCGAGTTGCAATGTGGTGAACAGAGCTGGTGCTTGGATGCTTCACGGTTGGTCTACCTATTTGCCTGAATTGGAAATTGAGGCCTTTGGGCTGTTGGGCTTGGCCCGATCAGCCTTGGGGTTTGGGCTGATTTAATTTCTTTTTAAGTTGGCCTCGGAAAAATCTATGTTTAAGAAATCGGACCGGATAATGACCCGTTTTGAGTACTGGGTTTTGGGTCAACCAGTTCTACCCGCGGGTCAGATGGGTCGTTTGTTTACTAGCAACTTTGCAATGTTATGTATTTCATCCATATTAAATGTTGTTTGATAGTGGATGGTGGCCACCTATGATTTATTATGGACGCATTAGAATTCCTTTCCCCTACCAATTGAGTCTCTTCATTTTTCAAAGACAGAAGTCCCAACCCATATCCACTTCCCAATCCCCCCATTTTATTATACTTTTCATATCCCCCATCCCCACCCATTCATCTTCTTCTCCATCTTGTATTCCGAATAAAGACACGACCCTTTTCCAATTTCTCTTCTTGATCTAATGCTTAGATCTATAAAGGAAAATAACAAATAAAGTATCCATCGGTCAAACCTGTCTGTGTCGCCGGGAAAAAATGGCAAGGACTGGCCAGGCGACACCCTACCCCCCTCCTACCCCCCTCCTATACGTATCTCATACACTTGAAGCAGGGGCCCCAAACCCCCGTCACCCACTAGATCCGCCCCTGAGAAGGCAAGACCGCCAGAGAGTAGATGCCGAACAAACGAAAGCAGGAATAGATAAAGGTTTTCTTTTTCTTTTTTTAAATTAAAGAATGTAAAAGAAATTGGTTTGATAAAAAAATAAACCGGTGTTGTGAACAGGAAAAAAAAAAATCAACGGGGTGAACCGTTACCCGATAATCAACGGTAAAAATACCGTTGCCCAGAGCCAAAAGGCTAAAACCAATTTTATTCCAAGATGAGCCAGAATGAATCCTATCAAGGGGTTTAAATACCCATCTACTAACTCTTAAACTAGGAAACAAAATCCTAGAGATCCTAATCAACTCCAACAAGGAAACAGAATAATAAAGATCCTAATCAACTTCAAATAGGAAAGAAATAATAGAAATCCTAATTAACTCCTAATAGGAAACACATATTAGAAATCCTAATTAACTCCAAAAGGAAACAAATCAGGAAAAAATAAAAAGAATAAATATTAATTAAATAGCCCGCAACCAGCCCACGAAGGTGGGCTCAAGCCCGTCCCGCCTTCGGTAAACCCACGGGGGCTTCTTCCCCTCTTCTTCCAAGCCCAGAATCTGCTTCATATCAATTCCATCCCTCTTTGAAAAAACCTTGTCCTCAAGGTTGAAATCCGGAAACCAGCTGACATTTGTTCCCGGTGGTTGCCCAGTCAGTATCTTTAGGAAAAATTGAGATGTACTCCTCCACAATCCCTGTCTACTTGCCTCCGGACAGTCGTTCAAAGTGATTGCCCTTAAACCGTGAGTCATAACGAGCCATCGCCTGTGTAAGCTCATCCCATGACATGCTCGCCTTTCGTGTCCGTATCCAGGTCAACTGGTATAGAGCTGATCCTTCCACCGCAACTACAGTGGCTGCCGCCTTCTTTCCCGGCAGAGTACAATTCAATTCGAACCGTTTTTCAGCCTTATCAACCCGGCTGATCAGTTCTACTTCGTTAAACGAAGGCAACATCGTGAGAAAGGAGCTGCATAGTCCAATTCCGAACGAGGATGTTGCTGCCGCGTCGAGTGAAGTCACCACCGTTGAATGCTTCTCCGCGGTTGGTGGTGCGGGAGTCTTTTTTAGCGTAGCCAAGGAGGAAGTGACGTTGTGCAGCTGTTAGTCGCCACTGTGCGTAGATACGGTGGGGCTGCCAACCGTGTCCAAGCTTGTTTCCGTCGAGACTGTCGGAACGAGCGTCTTGGTAAGCGCTGCCAGGGATGCGGCGATCTCTGCCAGACGCATGCCGTGCTTCTCTAGGGTTTGATTCATCCGAGTTTGCTTGGCCACCATCTCTGACAAACGTTCATTGATAGATCTCGTCATTCCGGCGGAACAGGATCCGGCAGGCCGGACCAATTGTTGTGAAAAGAAAAAAAATAAAATCAACGGGGTGAACCGTTGCCCGATAATCAACGGTAAAAATACCGTTGCCCAGAGCCAAACGGCTAAAACCAATTTTATTCCAAGATGAGCCAGAATGAATCCTAACAAGGGGTTTAAATACTCATCTACTAACTTCTAAACTAGGAAACAAAATCCTAAAGATCCTAATCAACTCCAACAAGGAAACAGAATAATAAAGATCTTAATCAACCTCAAATAGGAAAGAAATAATAGAAATCCAAATTAACTCCTAATAAGAAACACATATTAGAAATCCTAATCAACTCCAAATAATAGAAATCCTAATTAACTCTTAATAAGAAACACATATTAGAAATCCTAATTAACTCCAAAAGGAAACAAATCAGGAAAAAATAAAAAGAATAAATATTAATTAAACAGCCCGCAACCAGCCTATGAAGGTGGGCTCAAGCCCGTCCCGCCTTCGGTAAACCCACGGGGGCTTCTTCCCCTCTTCTTCCAAGCCCAGATTCTGCTTCATATCAACCGGCTGGGTTGATGGATGGGCTTTTAGGGTCAATAGTGTAATTGAAAATGGTTAATAATTCACCTTTCGCCTCAATCACTTTGCTCCCACTCCAATTCAACATAATGGTTGCATTATGGTGCTATGGTACTCTCGTGAAATCACAATGCCACCTCTAAATCATGGGAATTCCCTCATTTTAGCATATGCCGAGATCACCAAAATTGCTTAGACCAGAGTAAAATGGCAAAGCAAAGTTAATTCCTTTTATTTGGCATTGACCTTGAAAATATATTATGATAAATTTTTTACTTCGTATTATTTTGATCATATGTTTACTTGTTTTGGTTTCAATCTTTATACATTAACAACAACATCCGCGCCTTACTCCCAAAATATTTTGGGACCGGCTAACATGAACTGAGCCATGACTTAAACAGAATAGACCAGACTTAAACAAACAAGACCAAATCAAACTTCGACAATTGTAAAATACATAGTCACATGGATTGTGATATTCCCCGAAACGCGGAACGAAAACATGATTGCGGTTCACTAATATATGAAATCCGATATGCAGGGGTTAGGCTTCTCCGGTACACTGTTTCGGTACGTAGTATGTTGAACAATTTATACACTATGGTAGTATGGTGTACCGTTAACATAAACAATTTATAAAGTATAAAATAATAAATATAATATTTATAATATTAAATTGTTTATGTAATATTCCAAATTCCAAATCTGTGGGAGAAAAGCTTTTCGTAAATTAGATATTGATGCCTGAAGTTCTGAGAGACTTTGAACTACCAAATGAGGAGAACATGAGAGGTGCAAGTGTTGAGGCACTGAGCACCACGTTAAATAAAAAAAACAGGAATACGAAGTTGTTTGGATGGAGCAATAAACGCGTAGCGACGTATGGAAGTACAAAGTCGCAGACCCCTACATCCCTTAGAAGAACGATCGAGACCCCTGCGTTGCTTGGAAGAACACGCCAGATACGCGTCACGGGAGGAAACATTAGAACCACAAGCGAGATACACAATTTAAGAAAGTTTTCGTATTTTTGGGACAATGCAAAAAGGAAAGTGTATCGTACAACATGGGATGGCGGGAGTATCTTTAATCTTCTTTATCATTTTATCCTTTTTTGTTTTATATTTTTTGTTCGTTGTATATTATCATTTTTATCTTTATCTTGTCTTTTTTCTCTTATCTTATCCTTTGGGACTAAAGCTTGAATGTTGTTGTTGGATGTTTGTATCTATATTTTGATTTTCTTTCATATTATCGTCACTATTTCTTCCCTATTTTCTTTCACCGGTATTTTCCAATTTCCAGATGGACCCTTCAAGTATCATGTTTATTATTATGAATACTTGATTGAATATTTCTGCCTTCAGATATGTTTGGGAATCGAAGGCTGATGGAGCGTTTGCAATTTCTGAGGATGTTTGGAATGATCCACTTGGCCGAGGAACTGAAATCAGACTACACCTTAGGGATGAAGCTGGTGAATACTTAGACCAGCACAAATTAAAGGTCAGTAGATAAATGTTTATGGTCGTGGAATTCTTAATTAACTACCGTCTAAGATAAAAAGTTGCAGCGTTTCTATTTATGGAATATGTTTCTACATTCTCTTTATGTCAGAATCTGAGGGACAGTCCATTCCTTACTCATATTTCTAGTTATATAGCCATATAGGTTGGAAGATATGGAGAATGTACTTTTAATAGAATGGCCATTTTTTTTCACATATATGCATCTTGGATGGAAATAAGAGACAAATTCTGTCTGTCCTGTTTTAGAGCCCGTTTGGTAGCACGAAAATCGGCTGTTTTGGCTGTTTCTGCTGAAATTTATGAAGTTCTGGCTGAAGTGGCTGTTTTGGCTGATTCTGCTTATTCTAGAAAAAAATATTTTAAAAATATATTTTATTAATAAAATAAAGAAAAAATTACATGTAAAAATAGCTAAAATGGTCATCTACAGTAACTTCAGCCAATACAGCCAGAAAAGTAACTCCAACCTTACTTTTTCTGCTTATTACACAATTCAGCACGCGAAAGTAAAAATTACGTGTTTGGTGAAAAAGCTGGCTGATAAGCCTGATAAGCCGAAAAAAGAGGTCTCCAAACGGGCTCTTAAATAAATAATTAAGCTGCCTCGTTACTGTGAATACCTACACTCGGTGCTTTCTCCGTAAGATGAAAAATATGTAATGTTAGAGTTTAAAAAACCAATTGCGCTTCCTAACTTGGACAAGAATTTGTATATTTTCAGAAAGGTCATGGCTGCATTTGACAAATAAAATAAAATTATCATTTTATGATATCCTGAACTATGAAGTGAAAATATCAAATTCGGATTGGCCAAATTGATATTTTTTATTTGATTTGGTATTTACCTTTATATATTTTTTAATTTTTTATTTCTATTTTCTACATTTTCAGGATTTGGTGAAAAAATATTCTGAGTTCATCAACTTCCCAATAAATCTATGGGCAAGCAGGGAGGTTGAGAAGGAGGTTCAAGAGGATGAAGATGATGCTGATGAAGAAGAAACATGTATGTGCTTAATTTGCTGCGAACCCTATAATGTTTTTATGTAATGCAGGCTAGTAGCATTTTGTTTCCGGTTAGTCAATTGATATTTTCAAATCATGAACAGCTGAGACCAGTTCTTCCGAGGAAGAAACAGAAGATGAAGATTCTGAGAAAGATGACGAACATAAAAAGGCAAGAATGAAGAAAGTGAAGGAAACCACTTATGAATGGGAGCTTTTGAATGATGTTAAAGCTATATGGCTTAGGAACCCCAAAGAGGTCACAGAAGAAGAATACACCAAATTCTACCATTCTCTAGCCAAGGTAAACAAATCATCATAACACTTCTTGAGATGATTCTGGGAGAAGATACTGTTAGAAGGCTATTAGCTCAAAAGTTTACATTCTTTTGATGACAGGATTTCAGTGAGGAGAAGCCACTTGCATGGAGTCACTTCACTGCTGAAGGTGATGTGGAATTCAAGGCTGTTCTGTTTATTCCACCTAAGGCGCCCCAAGATTTATATGAGAGCTATTATAACTCAAAGAAGTCCAACTTGAAGTTATATGTCAGGCGTGTCTTTATCTCAGATGAATTCGATGAACTGTTGCCCAAGTACTTGAACTTTTTGATGGTAACTCATACAACATCTGAATTTGCATTATTTGCATAAGGGTCCGTTTGAAACTAGGTAAATGCTATATAAGGAAATTGAGAGGAGATTTGAGTGAAAATTTGGGAGGAAAGAAAATGGTAGGAAAATCAAAACTGTTAAAGCCTTCAAGCTTATTAAATAAAGTATATATATTTGTGTGTGTGTGTATAAAAGGATGAAAAATCTATATGTTCGGAAACATGTAGAAGGTTTAAATCGAATTTGATTTTCTTTCCTATTTTCCAAGATTTATCAAGACATAAACAAATCATCTTCCCTGAGACTTTCTCTGTCTCTACCATCTTCCCTAAAGGGTTGCTGCAGAGATTGTTGGCAACCTGATAACTGTTGGTGTTTTTCCAGGGCCTTGTCGATTCTGACACACTGCCATTGAATGTCTCAAGAGAAATGCTCCAACAGCACAGCAGCTTAAAAACAATCAAGAAGAAACTCATACGTAAGGCCCTTGACATGATCCGCAGACTCGCTGAAGAGGATCCAGATGAATTGAGTGACACAGATAAAAAAGGTGGTTCTTTTTTAATGTTATGTTCCCTTGTGTTATGTTTTTTTTAATCAAAACAAGTTTTATTGATTATTTAAGAAAATTTGAGTTCAATGAAAAGGAAATAAGAGGAAGGAAAAATAAAGCTAAAAAAAACCCAACCCAAAACACATTCAATGAACCCTCCCTATAAAGATTAAGTTCCCTTGTGTTATGTTTAGGACTCACAATATGGTAGGGAAAGACAGTTAGTTGATTGAGGAAAATGATTTTTATGTTTGCTTTAATTGGAAAATGCATTAAAGAAAATTCATTAAAGAAGATTTTGCTTATTTCTAAATCAATTAAAGGAGTTTGAACTTGCATCTATAAGACATTGTTGGTTATCTTTTTAGCTAATTATTTCCCTCCCACATTTTCTTTCCCTAGAAATCTCTATGTGAGTTCGAACTGACCTTTACCTATCAATATGGAGGTATCAATATGGAGGTATCAATATGGAGGTATCAATATGGAGGGGTGGATTTTGGAGGACCAACTGCATACCTTGATATGCATTTTTTTAGTAAAAGGGAAATTCAATTTAATAATGAGGGAAAATGAGTACATAAAAAGCTGAAAAGGAGAAAGAGAAGAAAAGAAACATAAAAAAGCCGAACCCTAAGTACACATGGTGACCCCTCCCTAGCAAAACGAGTTCCATAAAGTAATCAGACCATAAGGATCCGTTTGGAACTAGGTAAATGATATATCTTGAAATGCATTTCAGACTAAAATAAAATTGAAAGAATGACATAATATTTGGTCATAATATTTTAATCACCCATTGCTCGGTTTTAGGAACATTCCCTATCAAGATACAAATCAAGCTGTTCAAAAACCCTATATCCAAACTGAACCTTAGGGCGATTATTATTTATTTTGATTTTCATATCTAATATCTAATTACACGTTTCAACAGATGTTGAGGAATCTGGAAGTGATGATAATAAGAATAAGAAAGGGCAGTATGCAAAATTCTGGAATGAGTTTGGCAAGTCCATAAAGCTTGGAATTATAGAGGACGCAACTAACAGGAACCGATTGGCTAAACTTCTTCGTGTTGAGACGTATTGCTCCTAACTTTCGTAATGTTCTTATTTCGCACCTTCATATTAAAACCAAAGCATCCCTTCATGACTGGCTGCTTTCTTTTACTGTTTTCAGCACAAAATCAGATGGCAAACTTACCTCACTAGATCAATACATCTCAAGGATGAAAGCAGGCCAGAAAGACATCTTCTACATTACAGGAACAAGCAAAGAGCAGCTGGAAAAATCTCCATTCCTTGAGAGACTAAAAAAGAAAAACTATGAGGTAAATAAATAGCCATAGATAGCTTTTTAAGAAGGAAATGCTGAAGACAGCTGCATGTTGGGACTTGGGATGGCTCATAAAAAGCACTTTTCTAATAAGTAGTGTGCTCTTTGTTTTAATTAAAAGCTTCAAATTGGTGTTCTTGTGGTTGTTGTTTAGAGAAGTTATTGTAATCCTTTAAAATAAAAAAAGAAGAATTTCAATTCCCCCCCCCCCCCCCCCATACAGAAAATCATTTTTCCAAATTACAAAGCATTTGGAAAAATGGACTCTTTTAAAATGGAAATTTGGAAAAAATGATTCTGTATAAACATACGTTCACCTAATCACCCTCTATTTAATTTCATCCTCTATACAAATGATTTATCAGTTTAAACATCCTTCTTTCCCTTCATCCTCAATTTTTCTTGATTTTTGTAATTAATACTACGTACATTGGTACAGGTCATTTTCTTCACAGACCCCGTGGATGAATACCTGATGCAATACCTGATGGATTACGAAGACAAGAAATTCCAGAATGTATCCAAAGAGGGCCTGAAGATTAAGGACTCAAAAGACAAAGAGCTAAAGGAGTCATTCAAAGAGTTGACCAAGTGGTGGAAAACCACGTTGGCTAGTAGCGACAATGTTGATGACGTGAAAATCAGCAACCGTCTGGCAGATACGCCATGTGTGGTAGTGACTTCCAAGTATGGATGGAGTGCGAACATGGAGAGAATCATGCAATCTCAAACACTGTCAGACGCTAGCAAGCAAGCGTATATGCGGGGCAAGAGAGTCCTTGAGATAAACCCTCGCCACCCCATCATCAAGGAGCTCCGTGAAAGAGTAGTGAAGGACCCCGAGGTACGACGGGAGATGTCACTTGATGTGTTCCAAGTATTGATTGAACTAAAATTGATATTTTATTATGTTTTCCTTTTGACAGGACGAGAGTGTGAAGGAAACGGCACAGCTAATGTACCAAACAGCACTAATGGAGAGTGGGTTCATGCTGAATGACCCAAAGGACTTCGCCTCACGTATCTACAACTCTGTGAAGTCGGGTCTAAGCATTAGCCCTGATGCAGAGGTTGAGGAAGAACAAGAAGTCGAAGATGGGCAAGAAACCGAGTCTACCACCACCAATGCGGCATCTGAAGAAGAACAAGCGGTTGGTGGAATCAAAGATGAGTTATAGATTGTTATTATCCACGGGAGGAATTTGAGTCGGTCTTATTTCACTTAGTTTAACAGAGGGAGGCTGTGGCTCATTAGAGTTCGATACGCTGTAACAGTGTTAACTCGTGAACAACTTTTTGTCATTTGTTTGTAGTTTCTTTTTCCAGTTGAGGCGGTGCTTTTGACACTGCTTAGTTTTTGTGCAATGCTGTATCATCGTTTTGTCATTAGTTCTACGTTTTTCCGGCAACCAATTGCCTCATTATCTTGTGCTGTACTCCGTCATTTTTGATCACGATGCATCGTGGGGTGGAGCCGTGTCCAAACTGCACAAAAGAGCCGTCCAAAATCAAAGAGAAGAGTGCCGTGTCCATTAACCATAAATGATTTTGCAATCAGGCTTTTGAATTGAAAGATTTTCCAAACTGCCGGTTCTGGTTCGGGCCTGGGCCCGGGTGGGCTTTTATTTGGGAAAGGTGGAACCGGAACCGGCCCCGGTAGCCGGCGGTTCCGGGCCGGTTCCGGGCCGGTTCTGGTTCGGGCTAATTTTTTTAATTTTCTTTTGCTGTTGTAATCAACTCCCGACCCCCCCTCATCCCCCACCCCCAACCCCCCCCCAAAACACCCAACCCAACCCAGTAGAATTAAAAAAATTGAAAAAAAAAAAAAAATTAGGCCCGAACCGGGCCCGAACCGGCCGGGCCGGTTCGCATTTTAGGGGGCCCGACTCCTGAGCCCGCACCGGGAACTGGCCGGTTCCGGTTTGCCCGAACTGGCTCCAAGACTGGGTACCGGGCCGGGCCGGGCCCAAACAATACTGGGCCGGTCCGGTTTCGGGCCAGGCCACCCGCCCAGCCACCCGCCCAGAGTCCACCCCTATTAGCATGTAAAGAAAATTTGATTGCTTAATTTTCAATGAGTTCGAGGTTATATTTGCAAGTGATTCGGAGGCTTGATTGTAGAATCACAAAAGATTTGAGAGTTTATTTGTCTCTTTTCTCAAAATCAAAAGAGACAAATAATATCACATCGGGAAAATTTTAGAGAAAAGGTCCAAATAGATTAAGAGAGAATTTTCTAAATAGGAGTAAAAATATTTTGAAATTCCAAAATAAGACTATCATGTTTTTTTATTCCCTAAATAGGGGTAAATTTCTACCAAATTTGGCATTACTAGGCTCTAAACATGGCACTTTTTTTCTTTCAAACTTTGCAGATTACTCATATTCAATGAATAAAAAACATGATAGTCCTATTTTGGAATTTCAAAATGTTTTTACTCATATTTAGGGCAATTTCTGATTATTCTACTATTTGTATCATATACTCAAAAAGTACTTTTTATCATATAGGTATGTTTATTTTAACAAGTCTGTCAATATAATTTTGTTATATTCTTTTCGTATTTAAATGATCATTGCATTAGGCATAATATTTAAGGGGGGAAACAGTAGAGGTAATAAATAATGTAAAAAAATAGGAGAGAAGGTGAAAAAGTAAGAAAGATAAATTAAAAAGTAGAAAAAATAAGGGTGATTGTGTATTTTTAAGGAAAAATTCACCAAAGGGAAAGTGTAGCAAACTTTTAAATCCATACCAAATAGGAAAAGTGTAGTAAGTTTTTAAATAAGAAGGGAGTAGTAGATATTTTGAAAAAAATCAGAAACATTTAAAATTAGAAAAAATGAATATAAAAATTGTAAAGTTTAAGAATATTAAAATCTATTTTTTTTTTTGTGTATTTTGATATGTTTTTATTGTTGATCCAACACGAAACAGTAAATAAATGTAAAAAGATGTAGAAATATGTATGAATACACTATTTTTATGTGGAAATCCGAAAGGGTGAAAACTGCAGGACTTTTCAGGCTAATGTCCAAACCTATATCATTTTCATTAAACTATCCTCACCATCTTTACATAATACAAATGTTTAAGCCATGGAGGTCATTAATGGAGCTCCCAAGCTTTTCTAGAGAGGAGTATAGTGGAGAAGAAGTGTCATCCCCAAATATGGAGGGAAACCTTCCATTTATAGGAAAAGGGGGGAAGGGTGCAAAAGCTACCTTCGGGCCGCAAGGGCCGAGAAGGCTGAACGGACCCTGACGGGCCACAAAGGCCAAGATGGGCCAGACGGGCCGAGATGGTCTTCACCAATTGGGCTCCGTACCGGGGTAATGCATTGAGCTCCTGAATAGTAGTAGGTCAGGACAATATATCGCAACACAAATCCCCCATTTTCTTGAGTAGTGAGCGTGCGAATCTGCTCGAGAAGTTATACTCTTGCTCGCGCTCTTCCTTTGTCTTCCTTGAGCCCATGTCTTCGAGTAGTCATGCTAGATGAGTGGGTGTTTGCCCCTCTTAACGTAATATGCCAGTAAGACGCTCTCCCTCCCGACTGGATTGGACGATGGATGCTCTCTCCTGGGCGTTCTCCCTTCTAACCGTATCTGGTGAGGGGGAAGGACTCTAACTCAGGCAACATCAGAACCTATCTAATGCTCCTTGCTACGTGAGGAGCTTTAGAGGCTCATGTACAAATACATTGAATGACATGCAAAAGACGAACAAAAATACATGTCGTGCATGAATGCATGAGATGTGATGTACCCTGTGCCTGGGACACACGACGTTAAGGGGCCAATCGTGCTGCACAATACGACGGTCACCGTCTTATAAAATAATATGCGGGCCCGACCGTGAACTAGACACGATGATGTTGAGGGGTCGATCTTGCTGCAAAATACGGCGGTCACCGCCCTAGAAAATTAAAGGAATAGGTGAGCCAGGTCGTGATCTAGACACGACGGTGATAAGGGGCCTATCGTGCTACATAATACTAACTCCGTCCCAATTTGTTTTGCAAAATTTCCCATTTTAGCCGTTCCAAAATGTTTTTCCACTTTCTATTTTAAGTAAGAAATATAGACAAAGTCACAATTTTGCCCTTACTCATGTCCCACCCTTTTCTATGACCACCCACCTGCGGCCACCCATATCTTATCAACTTTGTCTACACCCTCTTTTCTCTGCTCAGCGAACAAGACCACGCCAAAATTCTTCTCCCTCATCACCTAAACATAGCTTCAGAAATCAGGAGAAACCATAGCTTCAAAAATGAGGAGAATCGGGTCTCTGGGTCTAGTCATTGGTGGCCTTACAAATGCACAACATCACCGGAAGAAACTAGCTGCTGAAATTGACCATGAGCTTAAGTAGGACGCCGGTCGCTGGGGCTGCATCTGGCCGTTTCCCGTCTTCTCTCCCATCAACGCCCTTCCTCAGCTTTTCTTCCCTGAACTCTTACATGTTTGCAGCAGTGAGTTTTAGCATTTCGCTTTGTCCTCACTCCACTCACTGCTCCGGCATCAATGATTTCATTGCCTCTCCCGCACTGCCTTCGTGGAACCGTGAAATACTTATATCTACAGAGAGAGTACTTTTCCACTTTTTACTTTTCCACTTTTTAGATTTGTACTTCTATTTGGTGGATATAGTACATCCGTTAAATTTGTTAGGTGCACAAAACACGGATAATTTACTTCTCAATAGAATGTAATAAAAATAAAAGTATAAAAATAATTAAATTAAATAAAGTCTATGTGCACGGATGACTATTTATTGTTGTGGTTGCAATAATTGCTTATTTTAATAACAATCCATATTACTACGGAGTAAGTAGTAGATTCTGAAAAAGTTACCAAATAAGGTGGATTTTATCCTACGCGACGACGGTCTTTTGTTTCCATATCAATATGTAATAAAAAATAGAATGTAATAAAAAAAGGTATAAATAGTAATTAAATAATTGTTATATATGATGACATGACAGGATTATGTGGCATTCCAGATGCTCTTAAAATTCCTCTTATATATATATATTTTAATAAATATCCATATTAATACGGAGTAAGTAGTAGATTCTGAAAAAAGTTACCAAATAAAGTCGATCACTATGCAATATCGAGAATGCAAATCAAGAAAATGGGACCACAAATTTGCATAGAAAACAATGTGGCGGTAATTTGGAATTCTAATACCAAAGTTTTTGCTCGGTATTTGTTTATCATTTCTATAATCAACAATAGAAAAAGATCAATAGGAAAAAACCACAAATTTGTGCGCCTAAGATTTGTAACCCCATCCCTATTGTGAGAATAATTATCAGGCTTAACCATAATGGTAGCCCTGACAGATATATATAAGGAGAATAAATGTCATAATTACAAAAGGAGTCCCCAATAATACATAAATATAAAATCTACTCTATTACACCCCCTCAATCTGTGCAGGAGGAACAATGCGCAGATTGTCACGAAGAAGAATAAATCTTTGGGGAGACAAACATTTAGTAAAAATATCTGCCAGTTGAGCTTGAGTAGGAACATATTTCACACGCAGATCTCCATGAGCCACCCGTTCACGAACAAAATGATAATCTATATTAATATGCTTACTGCGGGCATGATGAATCGGATTAACCGAGAGATATGAAGCAGAAACATTATCACAGTAGAGCATAGTAGGGTCACGAACGGGAAATCCCAACTCAAATAATACCGAGCGAACATGAAGAGTATCCTGAACAGTGAATGCAGCAGCTCGACATTCAGCCTCAGTGGAAGATCTGGAGACAGTAGGCTGCTTCTTGGAACGCCATGAAATAAGATTAGGCCCTAGAAAAATAGCATATCCTGAAGTAGAACAACCAGTATCAGGGCAGCCAGCCCAGTCAGCATCGGAGTAGGCAATAAGAGTTGGGCGAACACGAGAAGCCTGTAGAAGAAGTCTATGCGTGGAAGTGCCCTGTAGATACCTGAAAATGCGCTTAACAGCCAACATATGTGAAGTATGGGGGGCATGCATAAATTGAGAAACCAAATGTACAGCAAAAGTAATATCTGGCCTAGTCAAAGTTAAATACTGTAAAGCACCTACCATACTCCTGTACGTCGTGGCATCTGCAAGAAGCTCCCCATCGGTGAGAGAGAGTTTGGTGCGACTCGGAAGGGGAGAACGAACAAGTTTCAACGTATGGAAGTGAAAACGAAGGAGTAGATCCGATATATACTTATGCTGCGAAAGAAATAAACCGGACGAAGTCCGAGTCGCATGAATACCCAGAAAAAATGCAAATCCCCCAAATCCTTCATGGCAAAACATTTAGCAAGGAGGGACAAAAAATGAGAAACAAGTTTTGGGGAATTGCCTGTAACTATAATATCATCAACATATAGAAGGAGATAAATTATATCAGACTGATGCCGAAAAATAAATAGAGAATTATCTGACCGGCTGCATACAAAACCATGAGAAAGAAGAAAGCTACTAAAACGATGAAACCAAACACGTGGTGCCTGTTTAAGACCATAAATAGCTTTACGAAGGTGACACAAATGATGAGGGAACTGAGGATGAACAAAACCTGGTGGCTGACGCATATACACCTCCTCCGTAAGATGACCATGAAGAAAAGCATTTTTGACATCAAGTTGACGAATGGGCCAACCAAATGACACGGCTAAGGTAAGAACAAGACGAACAGTAGTAGGTTTAACAACAGGGCTAAAAGTCTCAGTAAAATCAACACCTGCTCTTGCTGTTCAGGCCCCTGATGCTTCTAAGATGGTTTGGTATCCTGATTCAGGTGCCTCCGCACATATGACTCCTCACTCAGGTATCTTAACTAATAAATCCTTTTCTCCTAATTCTCGTTCTATAGTTGTAGCAAATGGGCATACTCTCCCGATTATGCATTCTGGTCAGTTTGTATTTAATTCGTCTGCCAAACCTCTTCACTTAAAATCTGTTTTGCATGTGCCTCAAATTAAATACAATCTTTTATCTATTCAAAAAATGTGTGCTGATAACAACTGTGCTGTGATTTTTGATCAAAATAATTTTTTTGTAAAGGATTTAACAACGGGGGAGGTCCTTCTTCGAGCTCTCAGTGATAACGGCGTTTATCCCATCCGTCAGCCTACACCATCACCAGTTGCCTTGTCTGCTGCGTCCGTTTCCATTTGGCATAACAGATTAGGACACTGTGGTTCTCGTGTTTTAGATCAGCTTAGACTGAGTAATTTTATTTCTGGCGCTTCTGCTAATATTTCTGATTGTATTCCTTGTCGTTTGGGCAAGTCGCAACGGTTACCATTTAATAAAGTTTTTCATAATAGTCCTTGTGCCTTATATTTAATTCATTCTGATGTATGGCAGTCTCCGGTGTTATCTCATTTAGGCTTTAAATATTATGTCTGTTTTGTGGATGATTTTTCTCGTTTTACTTGGGTTTATCCTATGCGGCGTAAGTCTGAGGTCTCTACTCATTTTCGTCATTTTAAGTTAATGACTGAAAATTTATTTGACCGCAAAATCAAGATTTTTCAGAGTGATGGAGGGGGTGAGTTTGATAACTTTAGTATGCGACAAATTTTTATTGATAATGATATTATTTTTCAAAAATCTTGTCCTGAGACTCCTCAACAAAATGGTGTTGCTGAGCGTAAGCATCGACATTTACTTGAATTAGCTCGCACTATGCTTATTACTGCTAGCTTGCCATCTACTTTTTGGGTTGATGCCGTGCTTACTGCTACTTTTATAATTAATAGGTTACCCTCTCCTACTCTACATGGTTTGTCTCCTTATGAAAAACTTTTTAATAAGAAACCTGATCTGTCTTTTTTTCGTGTTTTTGGTTGTGCATGTTTTCCCAATTTTACTGCTTCTTTTTCAAATAAGTTGAACCCGAGGTCTGTTCAATGCATTTTTTTGGGCTATGCCCCTGAATACAAAGGGTACCGTTGCTTTGATCCTATGTCTAGTCGTGTTTACATTAGCAGAAACCAATGCTAATTGTAAATAGAAATTTTACAAGTAATATGACATCAACTCACTCCAAAATTTATTCCCCATTAACCCACCCCAAAATCTAATCCCAGCCCACAGCCCTGACCAAACTAATGAAAAACATGCGCACCTAAAAGAAAGAAACGGAAAGATCGATTATTTTTAAATGATTGTCCTTGTGCCTACTATGTTCATTGCTTAGCACATCAGTTGCAATTAGCATTGGTTGCTGCTTCTAGAGAGGTGAAATATGTGCACAATTTTTTCATCGATTCAGTCTTTATTATTAATGTGACTAATTCTTCTTGCAAACGAAGTGATGAATTAAAGGAAGCTCAAGCACTTGAAATTGCAAGAATGTTGGAAATTGGTGAGCTTGAAACAAGCAGAGGACTTAATTAGGTTGGTACATTACAACAAGCTGGGGAAACTCGTTGGAGCTCGCATTTCAGTTCTGTTTGCAATTTGATAAGGATGTCTGCTGCAACTTGTTCTGTTTTAGAAGATGTTGAAGAGAATGGCAATAACTATTCTACTCGTGGAAATGCAGCTAGAGAACTTAGGAAGATTAAATCTTTTGATTTTGTTTTCTTGTTGCATCTTATTAAAGAAATTATGGGCATTACAGATCTTCTATGTCAGCATATACAGAAGAAGTGCGAAGACATAGTAAATGCTATGCATTTGGTGTCAAGCACCAAAATGTTGATCCAAAAGTTAAGGGAGGGTGGATGGGATAACTTCTTAGAAATTGTTAAAGAGTTTTACACAAAGCATGAAATTGAAGTTCCTAATATGAAGTCTCCTTATGCGGTAAAACGCAAATGCCATGATCAAGAAGGGTTTGATATTGAACATTACTATCGAGTTGATATGTTTTACGCAGCCATAGATTCACAATTGTTGGAGCTGAATAGCAGATTCGGTGAACATATAATGGATCTTCTTACTCTTAGTGGTGCTTTGGATCCTAAGGACTCATATAAATCTTTTAACATTGATGATATCTGTTCTTTAGTGGATAAATATTACCCCTTTGATTTTATTGAGCAGGAGAAGGTGAGCTTGAGGTTTCAATTGCAACATTATAAGCTCAATGTTCTAAACCATCCAAAGTTGGCGAATTTTTCTACAATGGGTGAACTTTGTCAAAGATTAGCGGAGACGGAGATGTCAAAAGTGTACTTTCTTAGCTTGTTGATAAATTGATCCGACTTTTGTTGACTATACCGGTTTCGACAGCAACAACCGAAAGGACTTTTTCCACAATGAAAATTATAAAAACAAGGCTTCGCAATAAAATGGAGGATGAGTATGTTGCAGACAACCTTATTGTTTATATTGAAAGAGAAATTGCTAAAACTTTTGACTAAAAAGCCGTGATTGAGAAATTTATCTCGTTGAAGAAGCGTTGGGTACAATTCTAAGGTACTAACTTTAACTATTTTGTAATAATATATTTGTCTCTTCTTCTATTATAATGCTTCATTTAATTACTACGCCGTATTATATTAAGGTTATAACTTATAATAATAATCGCCTAGATTTTTTTTTGTTTAAATTATCGCCCCCCAATATCAATTTCCTGGGTCCGCCCTGAACTTAAGGTTATTGTTGCTGTTATTACTCCCTCCGTATCAAATTAATTGACTCGCTTTCCCTTTTGGGACGTATCAAAATAAATGTCTCATTTCTCTTTTTGGAAATAAACTCACCCAAAAAGCAGCTACAGTACCGCTACAGTACTGCTACAGTACCAAAAACCTCCTACTTTACATATATTTGCTTTAAACTACGTGAAAAAGCATACGGGTCAATTAATTTGATACGGAGGGAGTATTATTTATCAGTACTTCGTATTAATTAATTACTGTACTACGTATAACGGGCTGCACACATCTCTCTCAAGTCTCAGTCTACTCTTCTAATTCT